GCAAGGGGATGAAGGTCTAGGAGTGCCAAGGTTAGGCACCCAAGGAGGTCGACCACCCCTCCTCAAAGAGTACGTTAAGCTTCTGGTGGTCTGCCTGAAGAKGACATCARTTCTCCYAAAAATCTTACARGCRAAAATGACGGGCATGTCCCTAACGTAAGCCTGCCAAGCGTAGGCAAGGCTAAGCCTGTGCTGAACCGTAACACCATGGCACCTAGACATTAAAGTTAGCAAAAATAAGAAGCATACAGCATGAGAAAATTCCATGCATTTCATACCAGCATGAAATGAGAAAACTAAAAACAAAAATGCTTTTGGCATGAAGTAAAATTATTTGCAACATCTACCCTTAATAAGAGATATTCATTCATAAATATCCTGGTAAAAAGATACATCAACTAACCTCTTCAAGCGGAGACTGAATTTGTGAAGATGGGTTTGAATGTTTTCCAGAATATACAGCAGCTTGTCCTAGAGCTACCAGGAGAGTCTGTTCTGCCAAACCAATTCTCAACTTTGACTGCAGCAACAACAGTTCAGAGATGGTATGGGTGAAGCACAATTACACAAAATCACAAAACCACTAGCTAATAGTGTTCAAGTCCATACCTGCAATAGACGAACCAAATATAAAGGTTCACAATCAGTAGCTGCAACAAGTAGCCCTTTGATATGTTTCCTTTTCTTGTCTTGACTATCTTTTCCAGATTCCTGTTAAAAACTCTCAGAAGAAAAAAGACAATTAATGGGACATAAAAAGGAACTGAATTGTAGCATGTCTTATGTCAAGAACATATTGACACATTTTAGACACAACATTGGACAGTTATGACCATATCTATGAATTAAATCCTAAGATTTGCATAAATGTTGTGTGTTGTTTATGTTTTGTTATACACTGCCTTTGTTCTTTTATTATTTGTAGCATGTCTTATGTCACGAGATGCTCATGCATACACAAATGTATGCATTATAAATATGCATATGTTCTTATGATTGTGTATGCATATATGCATCTATTTGTATAGCCATGGCCACATTCCTGGATGTCATGGGATTGATGTGTCTGATTATATGTGTCAAAACATGACACTAGTGTCCATATCCATATATTATGATTCTAATGTTATTTTCTGTTTTCACTCTTTTCTTAATAATAAATATTCTTCATTAACAATCACATCTCAATTAATAAAACTCTCTCTCTTTGTTCATGGTCAGTCCAAAATACCAATACCAAATTCTAAGAGGGATGCTGCCTGCAGTCTAATCTTTGAGACTTGCTATACTAGCCTGATTTCCATCAACATTCTTGACCAATATGTGAAAGTAGCTTATCATATTAAGTACATAACTGCAACTTTACTTTCTCATCAGAATGTCAGTGCAACCATGCAACCATTCTTGCTTACATCAATCAGCTTGGCATAGCACCACACAAGTCACATGCTCAATCAAATAATATGAAATTGGAGTAAGGTACCCATAATCAATCATCAATATTTTTCAGCAATAGCTTCTAATTTAAGTACGCATGCTTGAACAAAATATGATGCCATCCTAAATGCATGGCATAATGTAGTACTAACTATTATTACTCAATTTAATAGCCACGTATCTATTCTTACTAAAAGCAACCTCATTATACACACACACACATAGTTAGAGAGAGAGAGAGTGGATTGTGGCATAATCTGACATATAACTAAGCTAAGACTCCTTGGCCAGTAAAGTATCTCAAAAATTCATGTTTAGTCAATAAACAATGACAAGTAACCCACCTTGGCAATTACACGAAATGTATCAAAAACTTTGGCAACAGTTAAAGGAGGAGGCTTGAACATCACACTTTGAGATGAGCGGCTTTCTTTTGCAACAAGGCCTAAGTCTCCCAATTCCTAACAAACAAGGAATAAGTTTAGTGTCTGATAGTAAAACCAAAACAAATGCCGACCTACATTTCTTCGGCAAAACAGTATTTCCATTTCCAAGAAAAAAACACTACATTTTCTTTTTTTAATTTTTGGATAAACATTAATGACTAATCTCCTAAAAACCAAAACTGATAACTTAGATCAATACAAATAAGTTGCTTACTCCATAATTTCACAGAGTCCCTCTTATTTTGCAGTTTTTTCTTACATTTTTAGGATAAATATTAGTTTATCACAGAATTCAAGAAGCCCTGGTGCATATGGCCTTCTTTGTTAGTTATGTTTAAAATTGTCTGATAGCACTGTAACATTAAAAGGGTTAAGAGACAGGAAACGTAATTTCTTCTGTCCTTTATTATGCCCAATTCTCGTAGCTTGATAAAAGTTACACTCTTTGCATCATAGTCGTCACAAAGAGATATAAAATGTAGAGGTCAACTATTAAAATGTTCCAATGAATTCCTCCCCAGGGAAAACGCCCATTGCTCATAAACCATAACCGGTAGTAATAACAAATCCAACTGTGAATTGACTCATAAAATAGTTTAAATAACATGAAAAAAAAAAAGAGGAAAGAATAAAAGAATAGAGGAAAAGGATTACTTTGAGTTGTTTCTTGATCATTTCTTCTTTCCTTCCATAAGCCTCAGCAAGCGCCTTAATGAGAGCAGCATCTCCAATTCCCAGTTCCACACCCTCATGAGCTGGGGCAATCTTATTAGCCGAGAGATAAATGACGGGAATTAAATCTCCAGGCGTAGAAGCAATTATAGTCCTGAAAACATTACAGAGAAGTTCCGTAATAACAATCCTCCCCGTTTCATTGGCGATCATATCAAAAGCACGAGCAACAAACAGAAATGGCACTGGCTCCCCATCTTTCCAGAAAGCAGCGGACTTCGGGTCAAAATCTGCTGCCTTCTTCTTCAATTTCCCAATCCTTTCTTCGACACTGATGGGCCCTTCTCCCTTTTTCGCCACTGCCACCTTCTTCAAATTGGGTTCTTTAGGTTCTTCAGTTTGTTTAAGCTCCGACTCTGTCGTCGGAGTTCCATTATCTTCTAGCGCTTTTCGTTTCTTGGGTGAAGGACGGGTGACTTTCTTCCGAGCGGCGGCCGCTCGAGCGTTGGCCATGAGGACATCGGCAATGGTGCGCTTTTCGGCCATGGGTCGTTTAGGGTTTTTGGAGGAGAAGAATCTCAGGGAAGAAGGGCTAATAGAAAACGATACGCGGGAAAGGGGTGAAGACGAGTAGAGAAGAGGAAGGAATCGAGCCTGAGCTAACCAACATGAGCTCACTGTGGACATCAATGCTCGTAAATTAGTATATCACGCATCATTTTTTTTACGTTTAGGGCAACTAAAGAGCACTCTCATACTGTCTGATCTTCTCCCAACTCCCAAGTCCCAAGCATCAGTCAAAATGGCGGGAAATGTCTTGCCCTTGCCACTACTGGCTGGCAATGGTCGGATTTGGGACGGTGGACTTCGATCCGAACTATCCGGATGGGAAAACCCAACCCCTTAGTTACGTACACGGCTGCAAACGGATCGGATATAATCGGGTGGACCAAGATCCAATTTTGATTTGTTAATGTATTCGAATTGAATTCTAAGGAGCATACTAGCGACTCGAACCCACCACACTAATTTATCGATATATGCAATCTGATGTTTGATATATAAAAAATAATGGATTAAATAATTAAAAGTACCCTTGAGGGAGTTCATATCTGCGCCCCATCGGCTCTCGCCCCACAAACGCCCTACACGCCGAGCATCCGCCATCTTGTCATGGGGTAGTTTATAGCGGAAGAAACCTGTGCAGCGTCCAGGACAAGTCTTTGTGCGCTTAGAGGTTAGGAATTGTCTGATGGGATGGCTCCACCAAAATCAGTAGCACTGGATCATGACCTCAAGTTCAATAGCCGGGGCACTCGGCTGGCTCAGACCGGTCCATGAGAGACGCCGCTTACGTGCTAAAGGGAGACGACCATAATGCAAGGCAACTGTGCGCTGATGAGGTGACTTGGCACCGATGTGAAGGGTCTCCTGTATGCCGATGATGACAGGCACCTGTGTGCCCTAATGATAAGCAACCGCTTGGGCCGGAACACACCCATGCACTAGAGGCAACAGGGTAGCTCACTTAGCTCAAGGGGTTGGCGTGGTGAAGGGTCATGCTTGAGCCAGCTCGCATGCCAAGCCTCCCTTGAGTGTCGGCAGCGCAATGCCGGTCCAACACTGTCCCCATGAGCATGTGTGCGCCCATGAGGAACCCTGGTAGCCATGCTAACCATTAACCAGGGCCGCCCTGCAAGGGACGAATGTCTAAGAGTGCCAAGGTTAGGCATCCAAGGAGGTCGACCACCCCTCCTAAAGAGTACGTTAAGCTTTTGGTGGTGTGTCCGAAAATAACATCAATTCTCCCAAAAATCTTACAGGCAAAAATGACGGTGATGTCCTGTGTCAGACCGTAACAATTGGTCCCTTTACACGCAATTAGCTTGTCCCGTGTGCGGGGTTAACGGGATATCTCGGTGGAGAAGGAAGGAGCTGTGAATAGAACTTCCAAGGTGTTTTCATGCGCGAAGGAGAAGCTGCTTTGACGGTTCGTTGAGGAAAATCGAATCTGGACTGTTTTTTTAATTGTTCAGAGACGGGAACTTGGACTTGGGGAGCAACGATTCCAAGCTCTCAAAGAATCGAAGCCTGTTCCCGCGTCATAATCCTCGGATTTCTACGATCATCTTCGAATCTGATTCGAGAACCAGCGGAGATCCTACAAAAGAAATACTAGTAAAATCCTCGGTTATTCGTTCTTCCTTCTTTGCTTTCTGGAAGCTTTCTTTTTTCAATTTTCTTTCTCTTTTGAGAGCTTAGATTCTTGGTGGAGAAAAGATTAGGTTCTTTTGTTCTTTACTTCCTTGACTGGTAGTTGCTTGTTGCATTTCTGCTTGCTACGTTCTGAGTCGCTGGGGAAAAGAAGGTGATGCTTTATATATTGCCGAAAGCGTTTTCAGAAGAAACTTACAAACTCAATGTAGTGTTGTGTAGGAAGTAGGAACCTTTCAAGCGTACGTACGTAGAAGAGCTTTGAAGAGGTGAAGTGGAGTCTCTGATCCTAAAATGTACGAGTTTTTGCGGGATTTAGAAGGTGAAATCGGTTTAGCAGAGACACTAAATTCTAGCCAGAGTTCGATGAGCAGCGATAGCTGCAGTAGCATCAGTCGTCTTTCATTTGATGATCTCGAAACCTCCGCCAAGACTTCGTCTTTTACTCGCCTGAGAGCTTTACCTTCAAGCCCCACCGGTTGTCGGACTTCGCGTGGGAAGCTATACGTTCTGCCATTTCCCGCTGCAAGAGCGGGTTGACTTTCAGGGATTTCAAGCTCGTTCGCCAAATTGGAGCGGCGACATTGGGAGCGTCTACCTGTGCGGCTGTGCCGTCTCAGGACCTCCAGTGCTGGTGATGATAGCTGCTATTACGCTATTACGCCATGAAGGTTGTGGATAAAGAAGCGCTTACGTTGAAGAAAAAGGTAGAGAGGGCGGAGACGGAGAAGAGGATTCTGAAGATGCTGGACCATCCATTCCTTCCTACTCTCTATGCAGAATTGGAAGCTTCGCATTACGCTTGCGTGTTCATGTTGTTCTGCTCTGGTAACTGAATGAAGTAATAGCAGCTCGCCCGACTGAATGAAGTGTAGCCTGGTGCCTCGACGGCTGGTATTACGTTGGGTAACTGAATGAAGTGTAGCCAAATATCATACACATAAGAATAATGTTGGAGAATACCCGGTCAAGGTGAACTGACCGGAGCGGCCGCCGGTGCCGAAGAAGGAGAACTCGAGTGAGGGGGGAAGAGCAGAGTTCAGGGTACCGGCAGCTCAAGCACGCGAGAATGTTTGACTCGGTTTTGGGCTAGTTTTGGGGCTAATAGGACGAGCTAACGGCCATCCCGTTAGCCCCGCACGCGGGACAAGCTAATTGCGTGCGAAGGGATAGATGGCGGACACTCGGCGTGTGGGGCGTTTGTGGGGCGAGAGCCGGTGGGACGCAGATTTGAACTCCCCTTGAGGATGATGGCGTTAAAATATCTCTTTTTTTTTTTTTTGTGGAAATGAGAGAATTTATTGAAAAACTAAAAGCACCCCACCAAGGGGCAAGGGGGAAAGGTAGCAATCGTAGTCAGAGTACATCAACGGGTGGATCCAGAGATAAAACGAGGTGGGATTTCGCCCACTGGGCTACACTGTGGGCCAAGTTGTTTGGCACGACGTGGGATGTAGGAGAAATTGAGAGTCTGATTTTCAGGAAAGAAACCCAGGACATCTGCTATTGTGTTAAAAAGACGATGGAACTTTGTTGCCTTAGGGCTGTTAATTAGCTCTATCGCCAGTTTGGAGTGTGATTCGACGACCGCTTCTACCTGAGCAAAATCCTTAGGCTGAGTTTGAAAAAAGTATAAATACAAATATGTAGAGTGTAAAACCTTATAGGTTGTACATATTTGCATTTATATTGCTTCTAAACTGAGCCTTAACTTCTAACACTCCGAACCTGATAGCTCTGAATTCCGCGTCCAAGGCTGAAGAGCATCTAGCTTTCTGCACTCTGCCACCGATGGCTCTTCCCTCGCAAGAGCAGCTGTGCCCGACCTCAGCACAAAAGGCTGCATCACAATTAATTACGCAGTTTTCAGGGGGAGGAATCCAGCCTTCTGATACCAACGGAGGAGACTGAGGAGCATAGCTACTATCGTCTGGGAAGAGGCAGCATTCCTTGAGGAGCTTGGAAACTGAGAGAGCTATGGCTTCCGGTTCCGGGCTTGAAGATGATCCATTGAAGACTGGCCCTTCCAGAATTCCCAAAACGTTAAGGCTATCATGGCGAGCCAGCTCACTTGCTCAGCCTATCGTGAGGATCGAAATTCATTTGGAACCAAGAGGATATCCAGTCATCTATATGTTGGAAATGCACTTCTCCAGAACGGTAGCTAGGCAGCAGGACTGATGAGCCAAGGGTATTTTAAGTAATTTTTTAAATAATAGGGTAATTTTTTGCATATAATATTTGTTAAAACAACTGCTATTTGTGACGAGACAAACAGTGCTTCAGCTCTTAGGATTACGCCAAAAAAACAGTAGTTAAAGCATTCTTAGTTAATTGTGTAAAATTTTCACCATGATTTGCAGCGGTAACCTTCTCCTTATAACTCCATTTCCATGGTAAAACAGTGTCTCCTTATATGCTATTTTTTATCTTTTCAAATTTTTCTTAGTTTATATTCTAGAACAATTGAAAAAGAGAAAATGGGCCCAGCCCGCCATGGCCCGACTCCATAGGCCTAACATGGCCCGGTCCCGTGCAGTTGGGAATTGGGCCATGGGCTGTGTTGGCATATCTTGGGAAGGGAACTGGGCTGCCCAAGAACGGTTCACCAAGGCCCGAAGCCCGGCACGGCACAGATGGCATCCAAGCCGCCTTCAATCTGTGCCATGTCGTGCCCACATTACAGGTGTAAAGAGAGGGAAGTAATTATACATTCTTTTTAAATCACAATAGAGGTTTTTGCTATTATCAAAACAGATGGGAGGTTTACATAATTGGAGAAAACTCAAGAGAATGTCGAGGAGATTTGTTTCCAAATAAATTTGCTTTCTGGGAAAAAAAATGGAGCATTGGTAAAAAAGGGGTAATTGGAATCGCTACTTCTCTAGTTGGTCTGAACCCCATCTCAGCCGCACGTGCACATAGATGTAGAAAATGATCAATTTATGTGAAAGTCTCCCTCTCTCTCTCTCTGCATTATTCGTTTGTTCAGATAGGAATCAAAATAAGAATTAGAATAAGTTGGAATGGGATTTCACTTTCAAGGAAGGAGAAAGAAATAGCCATTCCCTCAAATGAGATGATGCCGGCCTCTATTCCCAAACAATGAATATATAATATGTAATATCAGAAAGGAAAAAAAAAAAGCATATACACTTTCTAACAAGTAATTCATTCAAACATTTGTCTATTTGCATGCTGAGGAGCATTTGCATGTTCATCAAGATTTAACTATAATATTAACCAACGTTGATAAATGAATATCATTGGCGAAAAACAAAAAAGGTTTGATAAATGAATCCTGTCCATTACCATATTAAGATTCACGGTCGACAACCAATTAGACTGTGAAACAGTACCCGAAAAAAAAGACAAAAAAATACAGAGATGAATGCAACCCATCAAAACCCATCATCCATAGGAAATGGAAATGAATCCAGGTAAAACATAACCAAGCAAAGCCCGGTCCAATTCATCCTTGGACCTTGCATGCTATAGGTGGGCTTTAGCTCTTGTAGATTTGTGAGTTGTTAGAAGCCCAAGGTGTTAACCGGAGCTAAACTTTTGATATTGGGCCTATTGAAGCCTAAATTTTGTAAGAAGGCCAATA